TTATCTGTCTTGCCTGACTACTGGGTCCATCTGTTTTGAGCCATTACAATAACATATTCTACTTAAGTGTTTATTATTTGTAATTATTTAGAAGACTTTAATTTATTGCAATACCATGAGCTATTCCTGTAGACGTCATTTATTTATCCCATCTTTCAGTGGAACAACTTGGCTGTTTTTTTTTTGTTTTTTTTTTACAGTGTAGCAGAGCCAGCACTGTTCAGGGGTGAATTTTGGCTAAATAGTCCACAGGACGGTTTTCATTTCTAATCCAGCCCTGGGAGCCAGCCTGCTGCTTTACAGAGGGGAAAAACACTTTTGTGCCTTGTGGGCAACCGCTGAGTGCAACTTCTGTTCCCCCCATTTCACTCATTCTTCTTTGTATTCATTCAGGTGAGTGTGGAGGTAATCAATTTTCACTTGGCTCTAAAAAGAGCTCGGCACTTGCTGTCTTTTGCTCAAACTAATATCACGCTCTGTCTTCTGGCTCTGCCCTCTTGGCAGCCTCAGTTTTGAGATTTTCTGGAGGTTTTGCATAAAATGACAACTGAAATCTCAAACAGTAAAGACAAGTGATTCAAAAGGCTTTCATTTCAATTCTCATTTTAATGATAATATCTATTTTATACAGGGAAAATAGAGGAACAACAGAATAAGAAAGCAATAAGCCTTTGTCTCAAAAACATTTTTAATTTGTATTTTATTTTCAAAAGTTTTGCGCAAGAAATCTTTACAAACATACAACAAAAACCTTTTCTTAATAAGATATTTTAGCTCATCTTAAGCTTTAATTACAATTACTTACGGCCTGGTTTGGATAACATTCCAGAGTATGAATAAGACATGTTTTTTAAAAGAAACACACACTTAAGCAACATCTCCATATTAGAAATATAAAAAGTATTTATTGAAGAGATGATCATATATGAGAATTTCTGGCTTATTTTTGAAGCAATGTAGCTGCTGTTTCAACAGCTGAAATTGAAACATATGCAGCCATTACTACCAGCTTAGAGCCTTAAAGCCTTTTAGTCCCATTTGTGCAGCTCTCAGACGGCTCACTCAGACCTTTTCCAGAGGAGCAGATAAGCCCCAGCTGCCCATTAGAAACCAGAGCTGGCTAAGCATGAAACATTTAGTGTTTCTTAAGAGATAAGAAGGAGAATCTGAATACAAGAGACTAAAAAATGCCACTTAAGCTACATCAATTTGCAAATGCAGAGGGTAGATTCCCTCCAAATTAACAGAACCTGAGAATTTCTGCTCTTTGCTCTGTTGTTCACTGTTCCTTTCCATAACATATGCAACGATAAAACCACATCTAAAGTGAGCTAAGTTAATCGCTGTTAGTGTATGATGAATCCTCCACATTGTTGTTGCAGCACTGTATTTAAGGCAGCGGCACACATTTTTAAAAATAATTAGTATGAGTGTTAGACAAGAAAATCAGGTTTTAACAGGAGATCCATTAACAAAAAACAAGAATAACAATAACAATAACCAATTCCAGGGATGTAAAGATATTAAAAATGGAAGATTTCACTTTTTTGGGATATTAATAGTTTCTCACCAGAAAAACGATTATCTTGACTTTAAGCCCCTGGATAATAAAGCAATAAATCAGATTTTTTTTTTCTGTGCATTTTAAGCTTTTCAAAATTTTTACCTTGTCCTGTCTGGCAATGTACAGTAGCAATAAGAATAACTGTCTTGATGCCAAAAAGAGACCAACAGATATTACTTTCACAATTGGAGCAGTATGGCTATCGCCATAGTGTTCCACTTGATTTATGCATATAAATAGCTTTATTATAATTAAGTAGGGAGTTTTACAGATTATATGGACACTGAAAGTAGAACGGGAAAGGAAAAACAGAAAAAAAAGGAGAAAAGATGAAAGATCTGCATTTTGAGCTTTAACTTCCATGACTGAACCAGACAAAAGCCCAGAAAATGTATGCCAGAGCATCAAACCAAAAGAAAAAAGTAATCCAGTGTCAATTTGAATTAAATAACTAAAGTGATTAGTAATAGTATTTCTATTTCTTTAATCCATTTTCTTATTTTCAACAAAATAACTTCACCTTCAAAAGCTCACTTTCCCCGCACAGGAAAACCGGACCCACAGCATGATACCACCACCACATTTCAGATACTCTAAAATCTAAAATATGGTGATTGGATAGATTGTGGCTTAGGTGCAGATTTATTTCCCTGCCAAATATAATGTGTTGCTTGTACCCCATAAAGTCATGTTTTAGAATACCCTGACCAAATTAACCTTTTGACATTTGCTGGACAAAAAGTAGGAATCAACTCTTAATATTTTAATAAAGGTTGTAATGTTAACAGTTCTTTTACATGATATTTAAATTCCATGCTGTCAGTATATGTTGGCAGGTTGAATTTTAGTTACACTTTATTTGTGGTTCATAATCTAACATGTTCTCAAGATTTCGGCATACTTAACGTATGCTTTAGAGTAGGGTTGGGAATTGAAAAGATTTTCACGATTCCGATTCCCTTTTCGATTCTATGAAACGATTCGATTCTTTATCGATTCTTTTTTTGATTCCAATTTGGGGAAAAAAGGAGAACAAACAGTTTGATTATCAGCATCAACTTTGTTTACTTAACTATTGCACAATCTTACAAACTTAACAAGATCAAGATGTCCACAGGAAATGTGAAACTGGAGTAATATCTGTGTTTAAATGAAAAATGAATACAAGAACAAACTTAATAACCAACAATGTCTAATAACAAATGATGGGATAATAACCTATTTTAAATAACAAAAAATACTAATTATAAAACAGTAGTAGGGAAAATTAACAGTTCTTTTGCAGAAAGATGAGCATATCTGCTTTTTCTGGAAGATACGGGATCTTTCAGGGCTTATGGTGTCTCCAGCCGTGGAGAACACCCTCTCAGATGGGGTGGAGGAAGCCTGCACACAGAGGTAGTTTTCAGCCAGTCCAGATAGCAAGGGCAGCGTATCTTGCTTGTTCCACCACCACAGTGTGGCGCTATCCCTGCAGGGGATGGAGGGCAAGCTTTTATAGAGCTGGATTTCCTGATCTACCCTCTGGGCTAAGGAAAGACGGGGCTTTGATTCACAAAGTGACCGCAGCTCGCTGTCTTCCTCCTCGAATAGTTCTTCCAACTTGCGTAACTTGCGTAACGTACGTAACTTACGTAAAAAACGTGACGTAAGTCGTGCTCCCCAGAGCCGGCGCTCTAGGCTCTGGTGCTGCGGGAATCGAAAAAAGAATCGTTCAGCGAGCTGCCAAACAATGCCATGGAATCGGAAAATACGGAACCGGTTCTGAACAGGAACCGGTTTTCGATTCCCATCCCTACTTTAGAGGATCTCTGAGAAGTCTGAGAAGGAGCTGAATACATACATTCCAGATGCTTGAGGTTGTTCATAACAAAAAAAGTAATGATGTATTCCTGTCCATCAAATAACAATTATGTACTACTTTGCAGTTTGCACTGGTTTGATACACCAATGACAATTTAAATGAGTGTGTTTAAATAATTTTTGACAATGCCATTTATAAATCTGTGCATCTTCAGAAATGTGGAAGAGGAATGTAAAAAGCACTTACAAAAAAGATTAGAAGCACCTTATATGATACAACCGATCTAGTTTATACAGACCGGTTGCTAATCGACTCAGTTGTATAACTAAACTGTCTCCCTGGGCTGCAGATTTAACCATGCAACAAAACCAGACTCGATCATCTATTGACATGGATTTAAATAAAGATACAACTCCATGGCTGTGTTAAAAAGAAAAACACAAAGTCCATAATGACACTTGCATATGGAATAAAGAGATGGATGAATACATACACCACCAACAAGCTTAAGAAGTGAAAAAAAAATTAGCACAAGTGATACAGCAGAAGAACAACACAGAAACTGGACTGATTGATAAAAAAAAGTGCATTCATGAGAGAGAATCTAGGTGAAGGCTGTGTGGAAGGATCAATGCGGTTGCTTTAGTGTGTCTGAGTGCCGCTGAATGGCCTGCAGCCGAAAGTTGAATAAAGATAGAGCTGCAGGATAGAGATATACACACAAACACCCCACATGTTATGAGGGAGGTGTGGCTGTGGACCAGATACTATATTTAGCTTATGGGGGAAGACTGGGATGGCACATCACTGTTCTAAAGCTGCTTCTCATAACCTGAACCACTGCAGCTCAGTGAAAAGGAAACTTGACATACCATTATTTTTGCTACAGCTCAAACAGTGAGAGAATTAGATTCCAGCCAGCAAACACGCATCATTACTCTCGTACTGTGAGGACACGCTCTGTGAGTATTGTACTGTACGGACATGCTGCTTCTGCTCAACCAGGACAGGTTGTCAAGGACTGGAGTTTATTAGAAGCTGTGGGAAATGTTAGTTTATGCTGAAGGCATTTTAAATATATGCTGTTGGACTTACAGTCACTGAGAGGCAATACTGCTCCAAGGTCTACTGCTAGTGTGCACCTTAGTTGCCTATTACACCTGGATTGGAATTGTATACTTAATATCAATGTAGGAAAAGTTTGTAGTTTCCATAAATGTGGTTGCATGAACACTTTACAAAAAATATTTCAGACATATAGAAACCAAAAGAAAATCCATGTTCAAAACACCCCAAATACACAATGCAAAAGCACATTGGGCCCATATTAATATTTGTTAGGTGGGAGTGGCCTAAGATTTCATATTGTACCGTTTTTCTTGAGTTTTTATGTGTGTTCTCAAGCAATGACCTGCTTTTATTCCTGTCCTTCAGGATTTCAACACACCAGTCTGGTTTAGTGGAGAGATAGATTGGTGCTTGAAGTTCAAACAATATCCCTTTCTGGACCCAAAATAAACACTTCTGTGTTCAGTGATGTACTTTACAGTGAAACTGGGTATCATTTTGAAAGTTATATGGTGTCAAAATATATCTAAGATCAGGAAAACTTCACTCATTTGCCATTCCTACCCTTTTGGTGAAATCCATTGCTCTGAGGATGGAGAGGTTCAACGTTTCCAACGAGGCCAGAACTCCTTCATAGTCTCCCATGTGCTTGGCAAAGTAGTCTATTTTACACACAAAAACACACACAAAAAAAAAACATATTTAAAAAACTATTTAAAGAATAAACCACTACAGTGTATATTTTAAAGAATTCAGTGATTTATTTTAAGTGAAAATTAAATTTTATGTGTGAAACCTTTTAGGTTACTTACCACAGAGTTCCTTGGTGTCTACATTACTGTCACAGCAAGCAGTCAGGAGATCAGGAAAATGGAAAGAAAGGAAAGAGGAGGATAAAGAAGAGCAGGGTAAGAAACAAAGGAGAGGTTTTTAGCTTGCAGTCATTTACAGAACCATTGGGAACAGAGCCAGCAATTGGAAGGAAGCAGAGCCATTTGACAGAAATTTGAGTTATACAGTCATAATTAATTTGCCTCGCTGCTATAAACATGACTTTCTTTGACTGACTGACTGATAGGGGAGGGGTATGCAACTGATCATGAGTAATAGATTGTGTATTTTTCCTGAATACTTGCTTAAGGGTATTTTGGAGGATGGGACAGTCTTTTTCATTGTGGATCATCAAAATAAGTGGTCCTCCTTATTGTTAATCATTCTGGTGATATGTTTACGTAAGGCCGTCCTATGTGCTCGTCCCCATTTTCACTTACCGCTGCTGAGTCTGACATAGTGGAAAAATTGCAAATCTTCTTTTGTAATGTAAGCTTGTATGAGCGATGCAAACAGAAACTTTTAAACAGAGCGGTCTTTTTTCAAAAATTTGCAAAAATTCTCCACTATAGCTTCAACTTGTGTCACACCTGGCCCCAAGATTATGTATATATTACTTATGCCCTACATAAAACGTATATCAAAAACCTAAAACAGTTCAAATCCCAAAGAGCTTTAAATTAAATACTCCTTTAAAGGATAATCTCTCTTTAAAGTTTTTTTTTAATAGCTCAGACGATGAAGATTAATGGTTTTACAAAGCCATCACAACAGCGATAATTGGCTTGGCAAGGTCTTTGAATTAACTTCAGTCAGTCATATAGGCCAATCAGTTTGTGGTTTTTAAAAGGAATTAAAACATTGGGGCATTTTCTACCACACTAATTCCAGTGCTTTACAGGTAGTGGAGCTTACTTAGCACCAGGTCTCAGGGTTCCTATCATTGTAAACTCTTGAGCTGGCCTCCAGTCCCATTTTGCTTCTGGACCAAAGAGAGGCAATTATTTTAAGCAGGTAGAGGCAGACACATGGGAAATATTGAAAAACATAGTTTTAAACTTAGTGTCTTTTTTTAATGGTGACATAAAAAACAAAAAACTATTATTATGCTGCAACGATATCAAAACATTAGCATAAGAATAACAGAAGCAAATGTCTCTTATCTTCCTGCAGTTTACTGAATCCTCTTCAAAGACTTTAAGTAGGTCAATGCGCTGCTTCAGCTTAGCGACCGCTTCTGAATTAGTTGTCTAACAGAGGATCTTTTATAGATGTCTGAAACAAACATTAAATATATCAGACTTAATGATGTGGTTCAGATGTTGCTCCCAAAAGGTAGAAAACCAAACTGGTTATTTTACAAAAACCAGATGAGAGCTGGCTCTAGCAGGACCTCTGCTACCTCTGCTCACATTTATTCCAGTAGATTCTCTGCAGATTTTACAGGCTCCCATGGTTTATTTCAATGTATTAAACTTTTTTTATTATTATTATTCTATGACACTAATGACTGACATTCAAATCTGGGCATCAAACAAACAGGCCTTTGAATCTCTCATAACTTCTTCAAAACATTTGTGTTTGTGCCTCGATGCATTTCCAAATTTGTTTTCCATTTTGGATCTGCAAGAATGTTTGGGTGTTTGCCCACCTGATGTGCATTTCATTAAACCCTGACAATGCAATTAAATACGTATCTGTTGGAGTAATGAAGTTGGCAGCTTTCAGTTTATTGATGAAAGCTGATTAAGGATTTACAACCAAAATGTAAAGATTACACTCTGGTGTTCAGGAGTAATTGGACAGTTTAGCCCCAACCCCTGGTATTAATGTTTCTCACTAATATGCCTGTGTTACTATAATTCTTTTAACTATATAATATGTTTTTAAGTTATAAGCATTTCTGCTGACATGATACAATCAATATTTTGGTTTTACTTAGCTAGAGCCCTGACTTGAATCTAAAATAGAATCTATGAAGGCTTTTGATAACATAGCATATAACCAAAGATAAAAGTTTAAATTCCAGTGGTAACTTGGAAAACTCTGTTCAGTAATAATAAAAGATTTTGGTTTGCTGTAGGTCAAATACTGTTACTCTTACATTTAAATATGCCAGGGTTAAAACTATTTGGGGCTAAAATTTTCTAAATACAAGTGCTGGCTGTATTCTGCATGTACTATCTGCTGTACTATCCCTATGTCTGTACCAAGAAGGGCAGCATGACAGAAGCCATTTATTTTAAGGGAAACATCCAAATCAACTCCAAAACGACCATAAAGATGAACGGCCTAGTCAGAGTCCACAAGTCTACCAGAAACACTTTACAATAACTTGAAGAAGGATATGATCATTTTATAGTTGTTTGCAAGGTGGATGGCATCACTTCTGCAAAGTTAGTCTGTGCAACGCTGACTCCAGAAAACTGGAGTCAGCGTTGATTAGAATAAAAGGTATGCAAATGAGTGGATTTGGATTTTCAGGTACATTTGTGTAACAATCATGTACATCACAATAAAGTGGGAAAAGGTTTGGGAAAAATATCTCATGGACTTAATACTTTAGATTTTAAGAAGAAAGAATTTTAACAGAGACATACAGACTTTTAAATGCCATTACACAACCATGTAATCAAAAAAATGTAACCTAAGTTAATCCATAAATTAGAGAACTGTTTGAATAAATGCAGAAATAAAAAAATGTAAAAAGCACAAATTCTGAACTGAAAGTTGGTTAAAACGTCAACCTTTATTTTAATGATCTTTAGTCAATAAAATTCTATTGAATTTTTTTCACAAATATAAATAAAAAAAGGTCAAAATATTAAAGCCTGAATTAAGTATGTAATACATGGCAAACTTGAAAACCAGTAAAGTTTAAGCCTTACAATATAAAAGTCTCGAGAATAGTGAAACTACACTTTGTCGAGCCATCAGTCATGTTCTTAAGAGACACCAACTTTTTTTAGTGATAAAAAAACAAAGGAAAATATTTTAAAAAGTTTTAGGACTAACGCATTAATTAGCATTAACAAATTAACTTTTCTGCCCCACATCCCCAGTGCATCTAATATTAGCCATGTCCAATAAACTACAGACAGACTGACATGTGTGCAATGAAGATCAGAGGGAAGAAAGGACTGAAGTCAGGAATGAGTGACACATGGAGAGGAGGAAGAGAAAGACAAGGAGAGGATGGTGTCGGACAGAGTGACAGCAGAAGGAGAGCTCGAAAAGGAAGACAGAAACAGAGACAGAAATCTCAGAGGATGGATTGAAAAGGTGATGAAGCCGAAAGGCGGTGGGAGGAAAACAGAGGATCGTTCAGTCTCTGCCTGCTTTGTCCCTCTTCTTCATCCATCAGCTTCCTACTTCACATAGGACACACTTAAATTCTCCTTTCTGCTTTCACTCAGCTCAATCAATAACCTTGTCTGTAGCTAAATGATGCTACTTTTAAACTTCTCTCATTGCATTCACTGCAGCATGTAGCTTTATAAAATGGGATAATCTGCAAGAGACAAGACCACCAACTTCCATAGGTGATGGCAGCAATCACATGGTCCACTTACTGCAATGATTTAAAGACAGATAAAAGCTGTCAAAGGGCCAAGCCTGGAGGAGGATTTATAAACTGGACCAACTTCAACTCTCCCACCATCACTAAAAGGTCAGCTTTTGTTCTGCTTGGTTTCTTTTTACTCAGGGTTCTGCAGGATCCTGAGCTCGTGTAAATTAACAGTCTTATTATTCAGATCTGACTGCGTCAGCACACCTCTCCTGACTGCAGGATGGATGAGCAGATTCTAAAGAGCCAATGAAGTAATTTAATGAGACTCAACTACATTTAAAAAAAGTAAAAAAAAAAAAAGATTAATGTTTTGCAGGATGGAATTACGATGAAAAAAAGAGAACAAAATTGGAAAGGCAGTAATAGAATGAAACTGGATAGGCTTATATAACATACGAAAACTAAAAACTGCGGTAGAATTTAGCTCAACAATGTAAAATAGAAAAGTGAGTTGAATTTTAAACGTGTTTTAAATTCAAACCAACCTTAGAAACGATGTTATTCCTAAGACTGGGTTTAATTAAAATAAAGATAATGGAGATACCAGAATTCGACGATTCTCCTGAAGGAATTTTTGC